GAAACCTTCATTTCATTAACAGATTTGAACAATCTTACTTCATTTGTGGTAAAATATTATTGTTCTATCAGAAAGCTGAACTTTTCCCCTTTAAAATGCGTTTTTATTTGTCCCTGTAGGTCACTGGGAACAAAAGTTATTGAATATTTACCGCGTACTTGATAAAAATTTTTTCAAATATTTCATTTCTCGCGCGCAACTGACACTTAAAATAACTCGTTATTTGAGTCGTTTTTTCTGAGAGAATGGTTCACTTTACAAAGAAAGTGGTAAGGAACTTTTTTGTTCAAAATCGTGTCAGCTACATTTTTTGTTTGAAACTTTTTTTTTCCATGCACAGATTTCTGGGAAATCGATGTTTTCCGTTTTTTACCCCCTTTAGGGGGCAATTTCTGAAGAAGCCCGGGGGTACGAGTGGTAAACTTTTTTGCATCGTTTTTGGGGACTACTAATGTACATTCACACAAAATTTCAGCCAGGTCGGATCATTTTTAGATGTCAGATCTCTGACGACTAGACTATATACTATACTTTTTTTGAATTGACATTCCAATTTAATTACCTAGATGTGTAATTTAGTTTCTTTTTTCTTTTCTGATTCCTTCTCTTATCTGATAACTTCTCTGTCTGAATTCCTAACATCTTTCAAATATCGATCTTGTTTAGTTAGATATTTATATATAATCTATTATTTTTATTTCTAAAAAAGAATTCCATTACGAAAAACTTTATATAATTTTCGAAAAATTTAATGAATAAATATAAGCTAAAAAAGTTATTAAATACGTTTGTTGAATGAACATTCAACAAACATATTTACACGTTTATTTACGTATTGTACACTTTTGATATCAGCGCACATTTTTTTCGACGACGCATTTTGTTGCATGCATGGCTGCATTGGTTTGTGCAATCATGATGAAAATGAGACGCAAGTTAATCAATATGTAATTACGCTGGTGGAGACGATTCAGAAAAACGTGGAGAACTTATGCATGCGTTTTTCACCGCCTACTAAATATCCAACGCCTTATGGAGGTCGTCTTGTATGGACGTTGCCAGGAAAAACTAATTTGATAGTTCATCTGAAGGATAAAAACAAGATTAGACATAGGAAACGATGGAGTCAAGTACGAGAAATAACCATTTACACATTAAGATTTTTTCTAAAAAAAAAATTAAATGTGCGCGCATATACAGGGTGACCCATTTTAACTTAGACAGCCAAATAACTCGAAACATCGTGATTAAATAAAAAAATGTTTAAAACAAAAATTGTTGGATATGAAGGGGCTGATTGAACTATGACCTTGACAATGACCTTGACCTTCATTTTCAAGATTATTTGAAGGTCTACTTTCAATTTTCAAATAGAAACCCATATTTTTGATTCAAGAATCTAATAGCTTATGTCGAGAGCTTTCCAAAACGCTATAATGAAATATTTTTTCATGAAGTACTTTTCAAGTTATAATGCTTCAAAGTACAGTATCGCCGGCATTAGCATTACTCAAAATATTTAATTTTGGAGACTGGCCAGTCAAGGCGAAATCGGTCGGTGGTCCGTGAATCTTGACCTTCAGTTCGCAGAAACAAAAACATAACGCGTGGTATTACATATCTTGGGGAATGCTAGTGCCGGCGATACTGTAACTTTGAAGCATTATTACTTGAAAAGTACTTCATGAAAAAATATTTCATTATAGCGTTTTGGAAAGCTCTCGACATCAGCTATTAGATTCTTGAATCAAAAATATGGGTTTCTATTTGAAAATAGAAAGTAGACCTTCAAATAACCTTGAAAATGAAGGTCAAGATCATAGTTCAATCAGCCCCTTCATATCCAACAATTTTTGTTTTAAACATTTTTTTATTTAATCACGATGTTTCGAGTTATTTGTCTAAGTTAAAATGGGTCACCCTGTATAAACAATATATATACAGGGTGTCCCAGTAACTCTGTTACAAGGCAATATCTCCGTTACCGTTAATGATACGCGAAAATGCCTGAGGAAGAAATTGTTTGGTTCGAAGGGACACACATTATGGTGAGATTTATTTCTTTCTCAAGGTCATATTTTTAGAGCCTTCAAGGTCATCGATACTTTTTTAAATAGGACTACATATTTTTTTCATTA